GTAACGCGTTCCCGGTTTTGGCATAATAACTAGTTACAGTGCTCGTTACCACAATAATAACGTAGCTACTGTAACGCGTTACTTAATAACGCGTTAGTCCCAACACTGCATTTGACACAAACTTATGCATGTAAAATATGTATTTTTATGCCAAAAAGTATTCAATATATATTATTATGCTATATAAAAGTTATCCAAATTGTGCCTTTAGTTATATTTTGTATTACCTCAGATTTATCCTCATTTCAGTTTATAGTAACAGAAATTTAAGCTGCTGAATCTGGTGTTTGGAAGCGCATCCCTGTGTGGCACACTATTATAATGTGTATAGATTTAAACGCATGATTGTAAATTTGTAAAAAAGAATAAGTAACGCAACACCCTGATTAATCAATGAGTTTTTTGTGAGCCGATACTCTTCATCGCTGCTGTGGTAAATGTGCATATCACGTGTATTTCATTCAAGACGTCTGGATAGTAAAGTCAGAATGGATGCATGGTTGAAAATATATATTCAAATAATCTCTTTATTCATTTGAATTTTTACACCACTAAAGACAGGGATAGGTTCACACAATGGGCATGGATATTTTTCAGTTATTTGATGGAGGAGGAAACTTTTAATAAAAATAAGAGCCATTTCCTAAATTCTCATGATGCTGAAAGTACAGCCAAAAAGAGGAGCAATAAGACGGTATGTGCCAGATTGACTTCTTTCACTTGCTATTGATGTTTTATTCTGTACAGAGGGACAATTTGTACAAAATTAATCTAGATATATATATATATATATATATAACACTACATGAAACAAGGTAAATCATATATACAATATTAAATGAAGCATATAGTACAGGTGACATACAAAAAGGACACTTTAAGTTATGTTTTGGAAATAATATGTTAAAATTAAAAGATCTGAGAAGATCCTGCAGAGAGAACAAGCCACCAAATCGTTTTTAAATCATCTCTTCTCGTCACGGTTGACTTGTTTTTCAGCACTAAAAGGAAACCTCCGACCTCTGACTCAAACTCATTAAAATTCATTAAAACATCTCTCCCAGCAAGCAGGACTGTTTCATAAACAGAAATCAGTTTGGTGAATGGCATTCCTCCAGGGTAAAAGGTACATGTTTAACATGGTAGTTTTAATTTACATCTTTTTGCATTCAAGCAAATACAGTATTAATACAGTTAACAAGCCAAGTCACAATGTCAGTTTATTTTCAGCATCTGGTATTTTTGCGGCCGTTTCACGCCGGCGTGTTTCAGCGCGGAGCAATCCGAACGGCCGGAAAAAAGAAAGAAAGAAAAAAAAAAAAAAATCCAGAACTTGACATCCACACTATTAACCTCCAGAGACAATACAAAGAAATACAACACATCGAATATGAAGACCTCTAGCAGACCTTGGTTTAAACAATGGTACTGACTGGAAAATATTTCCTGAACTTTTAAAATCTTCCTCGCTGAGAAGGACACAAATTATAAAACCTACAAACTAGAAAAGTGAAAGTAGGACTGGTAGCAAAACAAACATGCTACGTCTTTACATTTGGTAACTCTTGTGGTAGGGCTTGAAAAATCAAAACAAACAAACAAAAAAATCGGAATAACTTCTGTTCGATAATAAACCAATTCCATATTTAATTCTTGGAGGATATTAAACCAACTTATTCAATAAACATAATGAGCAAATGTTCTGAGTAATGCTAAAAACCAACAAGTTGAGTTGCAGGTGTAAATTCTCTATTCAACACAGGAAAAACTCACCCTCTATTGCATTCCCCTTTACATTTTCCCCATTTATTTTATATAAATATATTCATACCCTATCTTACATCATCACGTGAATGCACCATGCTCTGCATTTCTAGTCAGCAGGCACCTGTTACATGTGACTGAGAGCTTACAACACCTTGCTACAACCAATTCCAACAATATAGGCAGCAAATACACAATTTTCATGCAGTACCATTGTTTGAACTGTAGGCTTCACCATGGTCTGTTTTTTTGTTTTGCTTTTGTTTTGTTTTTAAATATTGCCAATGAATGTCAATTAGCAAGCATACAAAAGAACGGCATATGGCACAAAACAATAAATGAAAAGTGTCAAGATGTCCACAGGACAACTAAGTCTTTACTATCCATCTTTTCGGGAGATTGCAAGGCTAAGGACAGGCCTCAGTTTGGTCTTAAGTGGAAAAAGAAACCAAAACAACAACAACAACAAATAAAAAAAACAAACAAACCCCAAAACACCAGTGACTGGAAACAACGTCAGGTGTCCCTGTTAAAGTCACAGATACAAACATGAATCGAACAGAACACAACAGTCTTGGCACTGACAAGATGCGTGTTACAGCAAAAATAAAGAAAACATACAACAGGTAACAGAAAGTTGCGTCTTCTATCTGAACCAATCGGGTCTGTTTTTGTTCCCTTTGAAAGAAAACAAAAGACCAAGAGACGATCCTCAGACGTTTAGTCAGGCAGTTCCTAATTTTTTGTATCCATCCATTGTGAACACATTTGTAAGAAGGAATGAAGAACCTGTGTTGTGCTGTCTGTACTCTCAGGTTCCACATTTACAGTGAGCGCACTGTGACGTGAGAGGAGAATGGAAGGTGAACAAATGAGGAAAATGATGAGAAAATACGAGTCTAAAAGTCACACACATATACTACTACTCCTCCTCTTCAAATAAAGGGAAAAAAAAACAAAAAAAAAAACCTGAGAAAGCAGAAATTGGAGGGAGGTGGATACAGGTTTTCTGTGCTGGAGCAGCAGGAATAAGGAAAACTAAGTATTCTGGGGGAGGGGACTGACAGGAGGGATGGAAAGCCCAGCTTGGATCGCCAGTGTAACTCTGGCACCCGGGCATAAAAGATGTCCATGGCTGTAGAGTGTAGGAGGGTTAGTTGAACCAAGAGCCAGCAGATTGTGGGACCTAGAGTCCATCGTGGGTGGTCAACATGTCTTCAGCTCTGCGGTGGGACTCCAAGGCTTTTGTGGTGTAGATATCCTGAGGCAACTCCGATTTGCGTCGCATCATGGGTCGCTCTTTCCGCTGCTCATGCTGCAACTGTTCGAATAACAGAAAAGAACAATAGCCGAAAAGTTGGGCTCATTTTTATTTTCAGGATTATTAATTAATCTTCAGGACAGCGACAGATATCATGATCCAAGTTACAAACTACACAATAGCTGAGTTAAGATTTAATGCAATATACTTTACACAGTTTTTAGTCATTTGCATAATACTGAACTCTAAACTACCATCACAACACACACACACACACACACACACACACACGTTTTCCAGTAGTCTATTGTAGCTAATAATAACAATGATACCCCAATTCCAAAATGTTGGGACGCTGGGGAAAATGTAAATAAAAACAATGTAATGTTGCTGATCTCACATTTCACTCACAGTAGAGTATAGAAAACACATCAAATGGGAAAAAAAAGGATAATGCTAAGAGAAATGCTAAGTGACTTGTTTTTAATTTGATGGCAGCAACACCTCAAAAAGTTAGGAGAGGGCAACTAAAGGCTAGAAACTTAGTGGTACTTCAAAAGAAACAGCTGAAGGAACATTTAGCAGCTAATTGGGTTAATTGGCAACAGATCAGTAACATGACTGAGCATTTAAAAAAAAAAAGCATCTAACAGAGAGGTTTTTTTTTCCTTTTTTCTTTTTTTTTAAGAAATAAAGATGGGCACATCTGCAAAAAACTGCATCTACAAATTGTGAACAATCTCAGGATAATTGTCCTCGTTGTAAAATTGTGAAGACCTTGGAGATCTCATCATTTATAGTGTATACCATCAAAAGATTCACAGAATCTGGAGAACTCTCTGTGTGCGAGGGACATGTCTGAAGATCAACACTGGATGCCTGGGATCTTTTGACCCCTCAAGCAGCACTGTGAACATGATCAAGAAATACTATGGTCTTCTCTGGACCAAAACCAGAAAACTGCTCTATGGTCAGACAGATCGAAATGTGACATTCTTTTTAGAGAACAGCTTGCACATGTGAAAAGGCAATCTCAATGTTAAAAGAGTAACAAGTGGTCAGATTCAGAATATGTCTTTCAGTAAAGGCCTTGCATATTTCAGCAAGACAATGTTAAACCACATACTGCATTCGAATACAACCGCAGCTCATAGTAGAAGCTGAACTGGCCTGCCTGCAGCCTAAACGTTTCACCAACTGAAAACATTTGGTGCACCATGAAACAAAAAAGACAAACAAACACACAAAAAAAGGAAAAGACAAAAAAGACCCAGGACAGTAGCTGGAATCCTATAAGACACAATAATGGGACAACATTCCTCTCCTGAAAGTCCATTAACGGGGTCGCCTCACATTTACAGTTTAAAAAAAAAAGAAAAAAAAAAGGAGGGGCTACAGAGTGTTAAACATGGCCCTCTCCCAACTGTCTGAGATGAATGATGTCTACCATCAAATAAAAAAAATAAAAATTTTCTTAACATTATATTTCTTGAGTGTAAATACTTAATATTTTTTGTGCTCTACCGCAAATAAAAAATGGGTTTATCTGCATTTTACAGTTTCCCAACTTTTATTGAATTGGAGTTGCAATAGTAATAATGAATAAAACTGCTATCTGTAGCTAGTTGTGTTTAAAGTATTTGGTAATTTTAAGGGGAAAAAGAGACAGAGAGAAAGTCAGGTTTACCTGAGTTGCGCCCTCCTCAACTGTCTTTTTTAACCTCTGAACATCTTCTATCAAAGGGACATCCGTCTCCATTGCTACAGGACTATTGAGGTCAGAGGAATGAACATAGACAGAGAACTATGATGAAAAAAAGAAACAAAAAGAATGGAGAAAAGACTTTCAGTTGCATGCAAAGAAGAATTAATCCAAAAGTCAGTGAATGATTTAGAAAAGGAATAAGAGTGTGTCGGAATCAAAATGATTGAAAACATTAAGTAATGATTTTAGAAATTTGAGTTTTTACTAAGGAAATATAAAAAATATTGTATCAGATTTAGAAAATTTAAAAAAAAAAAAAGAAAAAAAAAAAGATACTAAACTAAATATTTGATTGTACCTGAAGCACAATGAAGCCAAGTCGTGCTCTTTGGGGTGGAAATGTTACGTTTTTGCTGAGTGTATCTGGGAAATATACTCATTCATATTAATACCAGCTCTCATGGCTATGTTGTAAATAAGCTACAGCTAGCAGGTGCTTGTAGCAACTACCTTAGCATGAAACCGCTAGCCAGTCTTATGCTAAGCTAATGTAATCAGATGCTAGTTTTAGTTCCCAGTTTAGTCTAAAGGTATAAAAGTGATATCAATTTTTACACTTGAATGCTGAAATATTCCTTTAATGACGCCTAACAACGAAACACCATCGTATTTCATGCTGATTTTAGTTTTAAAGAAATTATTTTGGATTCCTAACACCACATTTTTAGCCCAATTAAAATGACTCCCATAGTTTTTAGATCTCTCGTAGAAGGATAGAAATTCCCAATTCAACCATTCACCACAACTACACACTGTTCCTCAAAGATCTTTCCACTGTTACTAGTGGTATTACTAGGGAGGGAAAAATGAATCTCTAAGCTGGGTTTTAAACAAATACCACTAAACAAAACCTCAACAGGAAAGAACAGAAAGGAAACTACAATTCAGCAACGCAATTTTACACACAGGACATGCAGAAAACACACCTGGACCCAAGTATTTGGACAGTTTTACACATTTTCAGTTTTTCCTTTAGGCTCTGTGTTTCGGTAATGACATCACAGATGGTAAAATAAATTCTAATAAATTGGCTTAATTGGAGTGTGTATGCACTAGCACAGAAAGAACTTTGTATTTGACTGTTTTAAAACAGTCCATTCACTCAATCAAAACCATTATTTTTACAAAAATGCTGAATCCATCCTCTATCAGACTGATGCCATTTAACTGACTCATCAGACTGCAATCATCTTTAGCTGCTTGCTTCTGTATATCCTGCAAAATAAGGAAAATTCAACTATCACACACACTGCACATACATCTGCATTCACCATGCAGCATTCACTACACATATCCAAGCTGTGTCAGAATCACCACCACATTTGGTGCTAGGGGTTTAAAAGGACAACCTGGCCTTAGTTCTTTATGAGGAAAACATATGTAGCATTTGTTTTTAAGCCATATTATGCATTTTGACTTCAGTTGCATATTATGAGACTGAATCTGGTCCTTGAATGCAGTATTTACCAATTTACTGGCAGCACTTCAGCACAGAGACTATCTGTCCAAACAGTTAGGGTCAGGAGTGCATATCATATAGTTTGACACACAAACAGACTCACAAACAGTTAAGAAGGGATTGTGCTTAAATAACTTCACATACTGCTCACCTGTGGATTTGATTTGGCGAGGTTCTCAATCTTGAGCCAAGCCTCTTCGCGTTCTTTTGACTTTGCCTTTTCCCTGTTTAACAAAGCACCAAACCTCCTGTCACTAAACGGTTCCAATCCTCTGATTAATGTGAAATCCAACACAACAATTCATCTGCAGCATTAAGGCTTACTGTAATTATGCCCCACTTCAGCATCGCTTTAAAAGACTGAAGGAAGATGAGACTTTGATGCTTACTTGTTTTTCTCAGCCCTGTACTGCTGTGTGCAATCATCAAAGAGCTTTTGATTCATCTCCATGAAAAGCTTCAGAGCGTTGTAGATGAGGCCGTGGATGGTCCTATGAACACAAGGAATAGGTATTGAGAGTCAAATAAGAGCAGCAGCATTTGTGTAAAGGTCACTTTTGCCCTGGAGGATCAAACCTAAAATTATTACTACAGACAGACTTAAAATTTAAAACATACATTTTAAACAGGTGGCATTAAATGAAGCATATTGACAGAATGAGTGCAAACATATATAGGGATTACGCACCCTTTAAGCCAGTTTTAATTTGAGTCTAGAGTGATATGAATAGAGTTGAGATATGAAAGTTCAGCAGATGAAAAGTAACTGAGGGAAATAGGTGAACTACTGTGCCAGGCATCGTGTCAGATTGATGTTATGTGTAATCAAAAGTACACACAGAACCATCTCAGAGATGCAGCTTACTTGTTCCAGTGGGTTTTTGAGTTGCGGTACAAAGCGGGGAACATAATTGGCAGAATCTTTGCTGCGTTGTCGCTGATCAGGCTCATGATGTACTCGTTGTTCCAGTAGTACAGAGCTCTCTCGGCCACCTAAAGAGAACATATACAGTGTTTTTTAGGAGTCACAGCCACTACAACTTAAGCACTTCTTTGCAGGGTTATGAAAATTGTGATTATCCATCCGGTACCTGGAAGTGGGGGCTTGAAACACATTTGGCCAGCTGTCTGAAGAGAGGCTCTTGCACCTTAACAAACTCAGAGGGCTCAATAACATCCAAGATCTCCTCCAGCTCATTGAGGAACATCACTTCCTTGGGGCTGTGAGTCTTCGGCCAGTACTTTAGTAGAGCCATTACCACCTAAATAACCAATCAGGAAGAATAAACAGATAGCAGATTTGAGCTTAAAAATAAGGAAAATACACTGAAATAAAAACAAGGCATGACAGTGTAAAAATCAAACAGGCGCATAAATGACAAAGTTTCGACAAACAGCATAAAGCTAAATGAGAACTACCCTAGCATGTTTTTATTAGACATACCGGCTCAGTTAGAGTGCTGTCCTTCTCCAAAAACTGCACCACGCAGTAGGCCAGCTGCAATTCACAAACAAATACATTCATTGGACAGTCAAAGTATCTGGAAAGGGGACACGAGACGACTGGCTGAGACATGTAGTGACTGAATGACCTGCTGCTCTCATGAAAAGAGGAGTCTCTACACAAATCATATAAGGACAAGAAAATATGTATACGTAAATATTTTTTTAAAAAGTTTTAATTAAAAATATTAAAAAAGCTTGTATGGCTTACCTGTGGATGGTAGACACTGAGTGATTTGACTTTGTGCAGAGGCAATAAAACCTTCAACAGGAAAATCTTGTGCTCTTCTTTTAGTGGTAAGGCAAATCCATTGATTATGCTGTCAAAGAGGGAAAAAAAGAAAAACCCATTAAAGAATCATTAGAACATCTAAAACACTGTCTGGCATGATGCAACAGCTTGAGAAGAACTTACAGCCTTCATATTCAGAAAGCTTTTACATTTAGTTTAATGTGTTTTGTACTAAAATAAAAA